TTGAGGCTAGCTTGTGCTATTTGGCAAGTTACAGACCAGACTGGGCTACACTCTGTACAGAGTGAATGAGAGAGAGGGATAGAGGAAAGAGAAAGTGTATATATAAAAGTATGTGTATGTAAAAGGTTAGAAATTACAACTGGAATAATATTTCTCTTCTAGTAATGCAACCGCAAAGTCTAGACATTCTTCATTCATTTAAACATACACTATTAAAGTTTAACTGGACAGACTCATCAATGAAACTGAAAATGTGTAAGCAGTCAGGAGAAAGTATTTCAGGTAGAGATTCCTGCAGAATCCAAGACATATTAAAAAAACTCATTCACAAAACTAAAAGAACAACTTTTTAGAAATACTTTGGAAACAACAAATGAAAACCTTAATCTTTTAAAGAACCAAGTTCTTCAAGGATGGTGTCACTATGAAGTTATTATGAACATTTTCTTATTCTGATATAGACAATGAATTCAGATAGTTTAAAAAAGTAACTCTTAATGGAGACTGGGGGAGAATATACACCTAGTATTCATGAGACCCTGGCTTGGATCCCTAGTACACACACACACACACACACACACACACACACACACACCGAAAAAGAAAGACTAGAAGGGAGAAGTACACACACACACACACACACACACACCAGAAAGACTAGAAGGGAGAAGTACACACACACACACACACACACCGAAAAAGAAAGACTAGAAGGGAGAAGTATGAGACAATGAAGAGCTAAGATTTCTGAGCCAAGATTAAATTTTTAAAAAGGCAATAACTGTAAAACACATAAAAGGTCAGTAAATATAAATGCCTTCTATTTCCCACGTTCCCTGAAGTCAATGCTGAGGGCAATTTATTGTGCTGATATAATCCAGGACTCCTTCACTATGTTGTAATAAACTCACCACTCTCCAATTCCCAAGTTCTCTGACCTAAGTAGGATTGACTCTAACTCCACTTCCAGAAGTACTTGTCACTCTGAACAGCCTGTCCCTCCTGCCATTGATACAAAGATAAGAAAGTAATTCACATAGACATATTCAGAAGAATTTTGCTGGGGTTTGTAGACAAAAAAAATTATGAAGAGGGCTGGGAAGGTGGCTCAGTGGTAGAGCGCTTGCCTTGCATGCATGAGGCCCTGGGTTCGATTCCTCAGCACCACATAAGCAGAAAAAAAAAAGCCGGAAGTGGCACTGTGGCTCAAGTGGTAGAGTGCTAACCTTGAGCTGAAGAGCTGAGGGACAGCGCCCAGGCCCAGAGTTCAGGCCCCACAACCGGACCCCCCAAAAAAAATTATGAAGAGCAGTTTCACAAGTTTGAGAAAATTGAGATAGATTCAAATCGTCTCCAGAAAGCATTTCCCATTATATAGTATGAATTCCATACATACCTTGCTATGTGTGGAAAGACAGCATAGCATGAGGTTAAGAGCACAAACTATAGTTCAAATTATAGCCCTTTCTCCTAATCCTAACTACATCTTGACATGTATTACCTTGAATAAATCATTTCAATTCTTTATGATTTATTTTCCTCATCTACCAATAATAACAACCCACTTGGTAGAGTTAAGACTTAAATGAATACGTGAGAATTACTCAGGACATTGACTGGCATAGGTAAATGCTATATAAACGTTAGCTATTATTTTAAGTTAAGTGAGTTAATAAGTGGAAAGTGCTTACAATATAATGCCTGACCTGCCAGGTGCTCACACCTGTAATCCTAGTTACTCAAGAGATTGAGATCTGAGGATCACAGTTCAAAGCCAGCTGGGGCAGGAAAGTCCATGAGACTCTTATCACCAATTAACCACCAGAAAACTGTAAATAGCGCTGTGGCTCAAGTGGTAGAGTACTTGCCTTGAGCTGAAGAGCTCAAGGACAGCCCTAGGCCCAGAGTTCAAGCCCCATGACCAACCAATGTAATAATAATAATAATGCCTGACACAGTGAACTCTATATTAATATTAGATTACTATAGGGTATATATGTATTAGATTATCCATTCATTCAGCCACATAATAAATATTTATTAGGTGCCTTTTCTGTGCTAGATCACTAAGGTTAGTCTAGTACTGTCTAACAGAAATGTAATGTAACATAAGTGTGAGCCATGTATGCAATTTAAAATAGCTAGTAGGCTGGGAATGTGGTTTAGAGGTAAGGTGCTTGCATGCATGCATGAAGTCCTGGGTTCCATTCCTCAGTACCACATTACACAGAAAAACCCAGAAGTGGTGCTGTGGCTCAAGTGGTAGAGTGCTAGCTTTGAGTGAAAGAAACTCAGCGACAATGCCCAGGCCCTGAGTTCAAGCCCCAGGTCTGCCAAAAAAAAAAAAAAATACCTAGTACTTATATCAAAAAGGTTTTTAAAAAAAGGTAAAGTTACTTTGAATAATTTATTTAACCCATTATCCACAATATTGTCATTTCAACATTCATCAATATGAAAACAGATGTTACATTAATCTTTCATTTTTTGGGGGGGGTCAGTTGTGGGGCTTAAACTCTGGGCCTGGTTGCATCCCTCAGCTCTTCAGTTCAAGGTAAATGCTCTGCCACTTGAGCCACAGCGCCACTTCCAGTTTTCTGGTAGTTAACTGGAGATCAGAGTCTCACTAACTTTCCTGCCCAAGCTGACTTTGAACTGTGATCCTCAGATCTCAGCCTCCTGAGTAGCTAGGATTATATGGGTGAGCCACCCATATAGTAATATACCTTTAAAAAAATATTTTTCAGAAGTTTTTGACCAATCACATACCAGCCATCTCTGAGGAAGCAAACCTGAAAGTGTGTCAAAACCATTTTTCTGCTCAAAAGTTTAAGAACCTACTCTGAAAGCATAAAACCTTTACTCCCTTCCTTGGACCCGGGCCAGTAGGAAGTAGCCAGAAAAAACACCACCACACACTCATTTTTCTTGTGCTTCCAGAGTTAAGAATGATGGAGAATGACTTAAAGTCAAAACACTCACCTCGCCCCCCAACTCAATCCATAAAAACTGCCCTGCTGCAGACCTTGTTGAATATGAATTATCTCCCACCCTCTTTCCAGACACAGCAGTTTTAAGAGATAACCTGTGAATGGAAGGCCGATCATTTGTTGACTTGTAAAACAGACACTGCCCTAAATCTCAAGATAAGATTCAATCTGTTCTCACCCTGCCTTCCTTTCTGTGACAAACCACCCCTGACCCCTGCCCCACCTGACTTCACTCACTCTGCCTAACTAAAGGAGACCTCAGTTGTAAGAGAGTATGTCTTTGTCTCTCCAGTCTGTCTGGAAGACTATGCCATCCCTCTCAAATCTGTTGGGTCTGTTAAGTTCATTTTCTGCTCTTTCTTTATTCTAATACCATCATGACTAAGTTTCCTAACAAAATCTCATCTCTCAAATCAACATGAAATTAAATCATCATCTCAGAGTGTCTATGGATCATGCTTGTAATCCTAGCTGCTCAGGAGACCTGAAACTTGAGGATTGCGGTTCAAACAGGTCAGGCAAGTCCTTGAGACTCTACTTTGCAATTAACCACAATGAAGCAAGAAGTGGAGCTCTGGCTCAGGTGGTAGCCTTGAGCTCTTTAGACCAAGGGAGCACTCAAGCCCTAGAACTGGCACACACAAAAATAAACAACACCCTGTAAATTCTAGGCATTCACATATACAATCTTAACTAACCTATTTTGTAATTCTCCAAATGTAATTTTCACATTTCCTTTAGAAAAGGTCTTTTTCCCAATATAACAAGTAGCTTGAGGGATTCTTAAAAACATAGGTCCCATGGTTTCCCTTATTTACAATAACTAGTATAAGTTTAGGGCAAGCAGAAAGGTCAAAAGCTATGTACATATAACCAGATAAGATGATGTTAAGCGAAATGAACCCCAAGATAGGGACACAAATGTTTTTTTTTCTTTCTTACTATTGTTTTTAATGTATTTATAATGTACTATGTGATTTTTTTTTGTTTTGTTTCTTTGGTATGTCCCTCCCCCACGGTATAACCCCTGTTTTCACTGTATTTGATTGCGGTGCCCTGCATCTTCTATATACATTTTCCTAATGGGGGGGAGGGGAAGGGAAAAAACAAAATATTTAAATAGGGATACAGGTTGACCCACTGTAACAATGAGATGTGCAAGATCTCATTGGGGTGGGAGGTGGGGGAGTAGTTGGTGAGATAGGGGAAAAACAAAGGAGGAGGCATCAATGCTCAATAGGAAATGTACTCATTACCTTACTCATGTAACTGTACAGTATTTTTACAATAAAATGTATTTTAAAAATGTAAAAAAAAATTTTTAAAAGTCTGGGACTCTACATAGGTAAGCACCAACACCTTGAACTAAGAATGCGATGGCCAGACTTAGCGTGACGGGGGCAGCAGGGAATGCGGTCCATATTTCGTGAACGTCCTCGGCACCCAATTAATTCAGGTGTCACCTCCACAATCCCGACAGGCAGCAGCCAGTGCTAACACGCGGAGGAAAGCGTCGTGCTGTCCTCAAAGCTCCAGGACTGCTGAAGCCGGGGCAGAAGGCTGGTGTCAAACGGAATAAGCACTAGTCGGAGGGCCGCCCGGAGACCGCCCGGAGGCGCGACCACTCGGAGCTTTACGGTACAGACACCACGTGACGCCAAACTTCCACCCAGAAACAGTAACAGGGCTGGAAAGTTCCGGAGGAGTTTAGCCCTGTCAGCGTTCTTCAAGGCCTGCCTACCCGGACAGAGTATATGACTCTCCGCTAGGAAGCGGCTCCTCGCCCTCGCTCGCCACACGTGCAAAGCAGCTCCACAGCCTCCACTTTTAGAGACGTGCGGAAATGGCGCGCCTGGTCACGCGGACGTCACATCCGGTCGCTTACCACACCACCTCCACCTGAAAGGAAGTTGAGTGCGTGACCGGGCAAATCTCCAATCCGGAACGTGTTTCCCAAGCAGCCAATGGGTGGTCCAATCGTGGCCTGTGACGTTTTTAGTGGGCGGGGCGATAACCTAGGTACGGAAGCCGAAGGAGGCGTTAGTTGTTTTTGTGTGTGTGTGTTTGTGTGTGTTGGGTTTATTTTGTGTGTGTGTGTGTGTGTGTGTGTGTGTGTTTTAGCCAGCCGGAAGCTGGGAGCAAGATGGTTTACATCTCGAATGGTGAGTTGGAGGTGCTGCGGGGGGCGATCTCTGGGACCTGAGAGGCTAGACCCCAAGTTTCTGCTGCCCTCGCTCGCCGGTGACTTTTCCCGGCATCAGTGCCTAGCGGCCCGGCGGAGCCCGAGGCGAGGTCGCTCGGGCCTTCAGCGCGTCGGCTTCTGGTCCCCGATCCCTTCTGGGCACTGATTGGTACTGAGCTCCCTCGCTTTTTCTTGTTGGGACAAGTGGCTTTCCTTCCTCTCAGGTGCGGCCATCCTGAATTACTAGTGAAAACCCCCGTAGACCCTGTGTACCTAGCGCTTTGGGTTGGGCACTGGCAGAATTGGCTTCTTTCGATGAAGAAAGTGCAGATCGCTTAAATTGCTTGCTCAGTCAAGCCAAGTGGGCTGGCGTCGCCGCTTTGTTATCAACTGTATTGCCTCGTTCTGTGGCCTGCAAGGGAAAAGAATGGAGTTGAGCTAAGATGATCATTAAAGAACAATTTTGGATGAGCTTTTCTCCCTCCAAGAGCGTAGCTAGTCATACATGGTAATATTTTGCCCAAATGTCAAGGAGCTCAGGGAAAAAGTTCATCCACGAGCAGCAAGTTGATTATTACTGGAATTAAAAAAAAAAGAGGGTCGTAATTCACAAAGAAAATAACTGGAAAGGAATGACAGCGTGAATAAGTCAGACCAGCACTGGAACAATCTGTTTTCCTTAAATGAAATTCCTTGGTGTTGTCTTAGCAAATAGTTCTTAGATTACTGAAGTAAATGCTAGTTCCGTTGGAGTCCTGTGTGTATCTCGAGTCAGTTGAGAACCTCAGTTGAGTGTATTTTTCATTCCTTTCCAAAACCTCATCTCCCACCTTATTTTGTTGTTTAGTAATTCTTTTCCATTTTTATTAGCATCAGTTAGTTGTACGAATTTGTAAGGGGTTAAAATTAAATTGCCATTATAATTATTTTCCATTTTTATTAGCACAGTTGTACAAGTGTGTGGAGGTAAGTTCTTTCTGACATACCCATATATGTATAGTGTATCTTGATCTCACACCAGCTCTGTCACTCTCCTTCCTTGCCTCACCCCCTTCCCAAACCAATTTCAGCAAGCTTCATTGTTTCATTTTTACACATAATGATCCCATATTCACTCTCACCCTTTCTGTTCACCCTCCTCATTCCACCAGTATTAGGGCTGTCACTCATTTTTTAAGGGGTTTCATGATATTTCACACATGGATACACAGCACTTTAGATTGATTCTTTAGATTACTCTAGCTGCCCCTATTTCCTCAACACAACTATTCAACAACTTTTCAATGATGATAGTTTTATCATCTTCCTTCATAGATAAAATGTGTCACAGATACAGTCCTATTTAATCTCCCATTTTCTCTTAACTTGGGCACTTGGAAATTTTAGTTTGTGTTTCTATTCTTTGTGATTAAGACTGGTAGCTTCTATTTATGCATTATTAAGTACCTTATTTATAAAGTGCCTTAATATGTGTGCATCATCTTGTTTGAGTCACTTAAATCCTGTTAAGATCTTTTATTTTGCACATCTCAGCCTCCTGAGTAGCTAGGATTACCTGCACCTGGCTAAAGCTGTTCTTTCATACAGATATTCTGGCTTCTTGATTTTGCAAGGCTGAAACTATAGTACTTTTTGTGTTGTGTTTCTCTTTAAAAATAGAATCAGTTTTGCTTGAGATGAAACTGGAATCTATTCAATCAGGAACATCCTGTTAAAATAGTCATTTTACTGAAGAACGAGTTCTCTTCAGTACTTGTAGCTAAGAGACACTTTGATTTATAAGAATTTGTCAAAATAATTCTAAAAAGAGTATATATGATCTTTTTGCCTTACAACAAGCAAGGACTTTGCAATTGAAAAGAAGTGCTCTGAACACAGTTAATGGAAGCAGAGGTGTAACCACCCCTTTATGTTCACCCAGCCCATTTATTTCTAACAAATGCTTGAGTAAACAGATGTATGCCCATGTTTATTGCAGTGTATTTCACAAGTATTTCAAGGGTTCATTGACAGATGGATAACAAAAATGTAGTGTCTCTGTCTCTCTCTGTCTCTCTTAAACACTCACATACACACACAGGAGTATCAGTCCATCTTTAAGAAGGAAAGAAAATTTTACATACCCTAGAGTGTGGATGAACCTTAAAAAATTATGCAAAGTAAAATGAGCCAATCATAAAAAATAGAAATTGGTTCCTGTTATATGAGACTCTTTCCATAATCAAATTCAGTTTAATGAGTTTCAGCTGGGCAAGGTGTCCACTTTAGAAGTAGATGGTGGTGATATCAATACAACTAGGTGAATGTATTTATGCCACACAGCTTCACACTTAAACTTAGTTAAAATAGTAATAGTAAATTTTATAAATTAACATCACTAAAATGTCAACAGTGTCAGGCACTAAAATGTTTTATTATGTTATATGCATTTTACCAGAGATGTGGGCAGGGAGGAGGATGGACATAGTATACTTATTTTTACATTGACTGGAAAAAATAGATACGTTGAAATGTGTTTATTATTGTTAACGTATTAATCTCTTTGGGTTAGAGATTTGTAGCACTCAAGAAGCTTCTTTATTCTTGTCTATAGGGCAAGTGTTGGACAGCCGGAGTCAATCCCCGTGGAGACTATCTTTGATAACAGATTTCTTCTGGGGAATAGCAGAGTTTGTCGTTTTGTTGTAAGTATAATAGTGCTCAATTGAGCTGATCTCTTACAGAATTAACATTAGATATATTATATGTTGGTTATGTGGAATGAGCTCAGCTTTTCTAAAGCACTTTTTTTTAACATTTTAAAAAATGAGCTTGTATTATACAAAGGGGGGATTTATCGTTAACACTTTTAAAAATTTATATCTTAGTCTCATCTGAAGCACTTTTTTTTTTTTGGTCAGTCATGGGTCTTGAACTCTGGGCCTGGGTGCTGTCCCTGAGCTCTTCAGCTCTACTACTTGAGCCACAGTGCCACTTCCAGTTTTCTGGTGATTTATTGGAGATGAGAGTCTCAGGGACTTTCCTGTCCGGGCTGGCTTTGAACCACTTTCCTCAGATCTGAGCCTCCTAAGTAGCTAGGATTACAGGTGTGAGTGCCCTGCTTGAAGCACTTTTTTTTTTTTGGTCAGTTGTGGGTGGGGCCTGAACTCTAGGCCTGGGCACTGTCCCTAACTCTTCAACTCAAGGCTAGCGCCCTACCACTTGAGCCACAGCGACACTTCCAGCTTTTTTCTGCTTCTGTGGTGCTGAGGAATTAAACCCAGGGCCTCATGAATGCAAGGCAGCCATTCTACCACTGAGCCAATTTCACAGCCCTAAAGCACCTAATTGTAATTTTTTTTTTTTGCCAGTCCAGGGCCTGAACTCTGGGACTGTCCCTGAGCTTCTTTTTGCTTAAGGCTAGTGCTCTACCACTTCCACAGCACCAATTCTGGCTCTTTCTGTTTATGTGGTACTGAGGAATTGAACCCAGGGCTTCATGAGTGCTAGGCAGGCACTCTATCACTAAGCCACGTTCTCATCCCTAATTGTAATTATTTAGCTAGCTTTTTTTTTTTCATCAGTCCTGGGGCTTGCACTCAGGCCTGCGCACTGTCCCTAAGCTTCTTTATATCAAGGCTAGCACTCTACCACTTCTGGCTTTTTCTATGTATGTGGTACTGAGGAATTGAACCCAGGGCCTCATGCATGCTAGGCGAACACTGTACCACTGAGCCACCTTCCCAGCCCAAACATCATATAGAATGTTTTCCTTTTTTTTTTTTGGTCAGGTGGGGGGCTTGAACTCTGGGCCTGGGCACTGTCCCTGAACTCTTCGGCTCAAGGCTAATGCTCTATCACTTGAGCCACAGTGCCACTTCCTAGCTAGCTTTTCAAAGGCAAATTGAGATTTGTTTAGTGATAGGCTTCCATAACCTGTTGATTAATGAATATCAGTTCATTTGATTGGCAAAACTTGTGTCTTAACCTTAGTGGTAACTCTGTCAGCCTGCAGTCAGACCTATCCAGTCTGTCAAGTTACTATGCCTCACTTTTCTCTACTTATTCTTGATTTCCCATTTGTGTATACAACTTGATGTCTCATGTTATACTATAAATCTTGATTTTTAAAATATCTGAGGTAGCTATCTCTTTTTAAATTGTTAGGATTTATGTAGAACAGATAAAATTTAACCAGTTCTTTATTATATAATTTTTTAACTATTAAAACCTTGTCCATTTCAGTGGATTTTCATAAAACCCTATGCCTCTGATGTCTACTCTCAGCCTCTTCTTCTCCAAGCTGATCTTGGACAGGTTATGACAGAGGAGAAATGCAGTGGCAAGGGATATAAGATAATATGAAAACAGATACCGACTGGAAGAAGGAAGTCAAGAGTGACTGGTTTCGTACTGTTTAGGGAGTTGTTAACAAATAAGAAATAGAAGATACTATTATTTGGCAGAGTACATAGCACATTCTGTTTAGGTGCATACTTAAGATAGATAGTAGTGCCGGGCGCTGGTGGCTCACGCCTGTAATCCTAGCTACTCAGGAGGCTAAGATCTGAGGATCACGGTTCAAAGCCAGCCCGGGCAGAAAAGTCTGTGAGACTCTGATCTCCAATAAACCACTAGAAAACCAGAAGTGGCGCTGTGGCTAAAGGGTATAGCACTTGCCTGGAGCTGAAGAGCTCAGGGATATCGCCCAGGCCCAGAGTTCAAGCCCCATGACCGACAAAAAAAAAAAAAGATAGTAGTATAAGCTAGATCATAGCGTCCAAGATATGTGAATTTGGAAATCATCTAGTGTACACTACCTCTCATAGAGATGATACTGTGTTTTATAATGGTTTCAAAAGTGATACTCTGTTGTTTTCTGCCTCTGGTTTCAGTTTCAAAACTCTGCTACAACAAGATGTGAAGAAAGGAAGAGGCTATGGAAGCTCATCGGATTCCAGATATGATGATGGAAGAGGGTATGGCTTCATTGATAATAGTTGTTTACTCCTTTGCATCTTTTAATTATTTTCAGTATTTTAGGTAGTGTTAAGACATACGAAATTAAAGTTCAAATCTCATTTCACAAAATTCATGGATTACTATAAATAAAAGTCAAGTTGCCTCCATTCGATAAACAGTTAATCTGGCAAAGCTAAAATAAATATTGTATATTCTATGGGAAAAGTTTGCCCTAGAGGATGAAGATGGACGGCCAATGTTAAAATCTAGAGATTTTCCTTTGCAATTTGAATTTATAGCTGCTAATGAAAATGTCAGCTAAAGCAGCACTGGGTGAAGTGGCACTGTGGCTCAAAGTGGTAGAGCACTAGTCTTGAACAAAAAAACTCAGGGTCAGTTCCTAGGCCCTGAGTTCAGGCCCCACTACTGGGAAAAAGAAAAAAGAAAAGGAAGGAAAGAAAGAGAAAGGAAGCAAGCAAGCAGGAATTCCTGGACGCCTGGAACCAGTGGCTCATACCTGTAATCCTCAGGAGGCTGAGATCTAAGGATCATGGTTCAAAGCCAGCCTGGGCAGGAAAGTCCATGAGACTCTTATTTTCAGTTAACCACCAAAAATACAGAGGTGGCACTCTGTCTCAAGTGATAGAGCACTTGTCTTGAGCTGAAGAGCTCAAGGATAGCTCCTAGGCCCAGAGTTCAAGCCTCAAGACCGACAGAAAAAAAAAAATAGCACTGGGCTGGGTCTGTGTTTCCATATTGTAGAAGTCAGCTAGTGCTGCCTTTTGCCTGAGCACTTTCAGGAGGTAGCACAACTCATCATAAGCCTTGCTTGACTCAGTTTCCTCAAGTGTTTTATGTATCTGATCTCTGTGTTTGAATTTTTGTCTAACCTGAATGGTAGTTTCTAGTTAAAGAATCTTTCAAGATCCTGTAGTTGCTGAAAAAGAAGAGTCCAATTAAACACTTAAAAAGAACCAGTTGAAGTTGTGTTTATCAAATAGTAGCTATATAACTTTATCTTTTATTATTAGGCCACCAGGAAACCCTCCCCGAAGAATGGGTCGTATCAATCATCTTCGTGGCCCCAGTCCCCCTCCAATGGCTGGTGGATGAGGAAGGTAACTTAAAATCTGAAATTATTCTGTAGAATTTTATCTTGAAAATGCTTCTTGAGGAATGTTTTTTTTTTTAGGAAAAGAAGTTATATAACATTTAACATTTACTCTATTTGGAAAAAAATATGCCTTCACTCTAGAAAAACTGATTGACTGTTTTTAATCAATATCATTTGAGGAAGATTATGTAACAAATAATAGGTTGAGATTTTTATTTTCTCTTTCCCTGTCCCATTCCTTAGACCACTTTAGTTATTAGCTTGCTTCACTCTTCCCTTTCAACCCCCAGGAATTTCATGTTAATCTTTATATACATTTCCAGTGTTATACTAGCTACTAAAGGTTATAATCTCTTGTTTTAGGTAAATGTCTGCTCTAAGAAGCAGACAACTTGACATGCACATTCATAGAAGGAAAAGATCAAGAATGGAAGGCTGATAGTTCTAGATAAGAAGATGAATGTGTATGTCCAAACAAAGATTGCTCTGTGTCCTCACAGGTGAATGACGTCATGCTGGGAATTCCCTCCACAGGGATCTGGCCTGACTGATAGCAGTTCTATAAATACACATGTTTGTCTCATCCTTTTTGTATAGTTTATTAAAGTATTAACATAGTTTTAATTAGTAAATCTTTTTAGGTTGCAAAATTTGACTTTGAATCTTTGTATGTAATCTAAAACCTCTAAATCTGAAGAAAATAAAGGCTATACTGTACTGTATTAAAGAACTGTTAGTGTCACCTTTTTTTCAATTTCTGAAATGCTGTTCATTGTTCATTTGTTTTCATTTATAAATAAACTACACTATTTCAGTAGTATGCATATAATAAGTGTGCTTTTGAATTTTTTAATGTATTTGTCCTATGAATCTTTAATACATTATCTAATTTGTTATCAAACGTTATTGTTAGGGTTATAAACTCAGCAAGATCTAGCTTCAGAATGAAGATAAACTAGGTAATCATAGCGGCATGGACTTCAATTCTATTTGAATTCAATACCATTCCTTAAGATTATGCCAATTGGTTTTAGACCCCATCTGAATAGTGATAGCGTTCATGTCTTTTACACAGCAGAAATCTCTATGAGAATTTTTTCTTTATCCAGCCTTTTTATTTTGTTGTTGTTTTTTGAGATAGTGTTGCTACATAGCCCTGGTTGCCCTCAAATTTATGATCCTATTGGTGCTACCCAAGTGCTGGGATTACAGGTATGTGCTACCATACCATCTTACCCCAGTTTCTTGAACAGTGATAAGCACTGGAATCTTTATTGGAAAAATGAATAACACATAATTGTAACGGCAGTGTGCAAAAGATGTTGAAATCACTGTTTATATGAAAGCTGTTTACCATTATCAATACATATTTTATTTTTGGTAGTTCATGGGGCTTGAGTTCTGGGCCTGGGCACTATCCCTGAGTTCTTCAGCTCAAGGCAAATGCTCTACCACACCACTACTTCCTGGTTTTCTCATGGACTTTCCTGCCAGGGCTGGCTTCGAACAATGATCCTCAGATCATGAGTAGCTAGGATTACAGGCATGACCTACCAGTGCCCGGATACCATTATCAATATTTATTCAATTGTATTTGTGAGGAATAGGAATGTAGTGGCATAAGAGACTTGTGTTTAAAGATTAAGCAATTAAAGCCAGGTGCTGGTGAAGGCAAGCCGTGAGAGTTTAAAAGCATGGGTATGACACCTGATTTTTGTTTGAGGGAACTCATTGGAAATACTTTAATAAGCAGACTGCTAGAAACATAATATTGACAATCTTTGTGATATTTTAAAACATTTGGGCAACTATGTGGAGGACATTAGAAAACACAACTGAAAAGAGCAAGTCCATTGAAAAAGCTGTTGTAGATTGTGCTACACGTAAGTGGTAGAGCCTCTTGCCTATCATGCCCAAGACCCTGGGGTTTGATTCCTAGCTCTTGAGAGAAGAGGAATAGTTTGTAGTCATCCAGGTGGTAGTTGTTTACTTAGGCAAGGGCTACATCATTGGATGAATTCAAGGTCTCTTCCTTTTTTTGTTTTTGTTTTGTTTTGGTGGTACTAAGGCTTGAACTTAAGGCCTCATGCTCTTGCTTAGCTTTTTTTGGGTTCAAGGCTGGCACTCTACCACTTGAGCCACACCTCCACTTCTGGCTTGTCTGGCTGGATTGGCTTCAAACTGTGATCCTCAGATTTCAGCTTTCTGAATAGCTAGGATTACAAGTATGGGCCACTGATGCCTGGCCTCAAGATCTGTTAGAAATGAAGGATTTCCTAGTGTTTTGGATAGATACATGGACAACTGAACAAATAAAAACTACACTGACTTAGGGAATGGGAGTATTTTGGGGAATAAAGAGGAGTTAAAGCTGGGTGCTGGTGGCTCATGCCTGTAATCCTAGCTACTCAGGAGGCTGAGATCTGAGGATCATGGTTCAAAGCCAGACAAGGTAGGGAAGTCCATGAGACTCTTACCTCCAATAAACCACTCAGAAAACCGGAAGTGGTGCTGTGGCTCAAGCGGTAGAGCGCTCACCTTGAGCTGAAGAGCTGAGGGACAGCGCCCAGGCCCAGAGTTCAAGACTCACGACCAACAGAAAAAAAAAAAAAAAAAGGAGTTAAGACCTGTTTAGAATAAGTTTGCAATGCCTTGTCAAAATCCAAGCTGTGATGCCACATTGGTATTAGGTTATCATTCTACATCTCAGGGTAAGGTCCAGACTGGTAATACTGGGAATCATCTTCTTAAGCTGTGAAACTAGAAAAAGTCATCCAATTAATATGTCTGGAGAACTAGCCCCTCAGAACTGAGCAGATGAGCAAAGTATGAGGAAAATTAGATGCATGTGTGGTGCCTTAGAAACCAGAGGAAAAGATAACTGAGAATGAAATGTGATGTCACTTTTCGTCTGGTCCACATAAAGCATAAACCAAAACATCACTGACATTCCTCCTCACCCCAGTTAGAATGGCAATCATCAGGAATACAATCACGCACAGATGCCAGCATGCATGTGAATGAAAAGGAATCCTAGTACACTGTTGGTTGGAACGTAAATTTGTTCAACTGCTTTAGAAAGTTGCATGGAGGTTCCTCAAAAAACTAAACAGAACTACCCTATGTGTGATGCACCAATTCTACTCTTGGGCATTAGCCAAAAGATTACAAACTAGGACACATTAAAGCCACCAGCACAATCGTGGCCATTGCAACACTAGTCACCATAGCACCAGGGTATCAAATAAGCCCAGATGCCCCTTAATGGATGAATGTTGAAAGGGGTAGCACTAGTCAAGATGCATTGTAAGGGTTGGGAATGTGGCTTAGTGGTCGAGTGTTTGCCTAGCACTCATGAAACCCTGGGTTTGATTCTCAGTATCACATCAACAGAAAAAGCTCTCAGCAGAAAACCTCAAGGACAGTGCCCAGGCCCTGAGTTCAAGCCCCATGACCGACCAAATAAAAAAGATACATTGCATTCATAAACTCTTGCTGAATAGAAACATATATACAGCTACTTCAGGTAAAAAAACAATATGCTAAAATAAGTAAATAAAGCGCTGAAAAACCAAGTATGACAAGGCTGGTGTGCGAGTCAGGACTAACTATAGCCACACCCACCCAACATCCTGGGCACTCAGCTCCTCCCGCTCTCCCAGAATCCCCTGGACGACGCCAGTGGCCACCATCTTGGTTATGGGCAAACATAAGGGATGTGGCGCCTGTGCAGTGGCCTTTCTACTCCAAGCTGGGGCTCGCCCTGAAGCTATAGGTTAGAGGCCGGCGAGCGTGGGCAGCCACGATGACCCAAGCCGAGAAGGGGGACACGGAGAACGGGAAGGAGAAGGGCGGGGAGAAGGAGAAAGAACAGCGCGGCGTGAAGCGGCCCATTGTGCCCGCGCTGGTGCCGGACTCGCTGCAGGAGGTGAGACGCCCAGCTCGGGCCCTCCGGGGCGGGTCGGGCCGGGCGATGGGCTCG